ATTATATAATTGTATACTTAAAGTTTTCGAGCTACTCTTAACTTTCAAGACTTAAAACGTTCAGAGTAAAGCTACAGTGTAGAAGAAAGCTTTGATATAAAGAAAATATTATTTTAGTAAACGATAATTGTGGATATTTTATACGCAGCATAACCGCCAACTCTTGGGCTACTCTTTTACCAACGAATAGTGGGATTAACCGTCACATTATAACGCCCCCATACATGATATTTTTTTACAACATCAGTAAAAAAAAATTATTGAGCTTGTAAAGAAAACAGCAACAAAAGATAAAATATATATGTTCTATATTATTTAAATATGTATATATAAATCAATAGTTCTAATACTATCAGATACATTAATTGAAACTGGCGATCAAATCAGCACTATAAAACAATAATGAAATTAATACAAAACAAAAACGTTCACGTTTTTTATAGTTTAGTCTTATTTTGAACGGTTTTTATTTGTATATATATATATACATATATTATTTCTATGGCTGTGTTTCCATATGACATATCACTTCAGGTCCAAGGTCTTACCTGTTTCACAAGCGTATCCGGTCCAGCCGGGTGTACAAGAACACTGATTTGGTTTCGTACAAATCCCTCCATTTTTACATTGAGGCGAACAGATAGCTTTTAAGTATAAATTTTCATTGCATGAGGACATAAACTAAGGTATCGTATAAAACTACTACAACTTGTTTGTCTATTTGTTATTATTTTTTGAAATATAAAAACAACTAAGGTATCGTATAAAACTACTACAACTTGTTTGTCTATTTGTTATTATTTTTTGAAATATAAAAACAACTAAGGTATCGTATAAAACTACTACAACTTGTTTGTCTATTTGTTATTATTTTTTGAAATATAAAAACAACTAAGGTATCGCATAAAACTACTACAGCTTGTTTGTCTATTTGTTATTATTTTCTTACAATATAAAAACAACTAAGGTATCGTATAAAACTACTGCAACTTGTTTGTCTATTTGTTATTATTTTTTTGCAATATAAAAACAACTAAGGTATCGTATGAAACTAATAGAACTTGTTTGTCTAGTTGTTATTATTTTTTGCAACATAAAAACAACTAAGGTATCGTATAAAACTACTACAACTTGTTTGTCTATTTGTTATTATTTTTTGCAATATAAAAACACGTTAGTCGTTTCGCTCATTCCTTAACCAAATCTAAAGAAACTGAATATTATATCTAATGAATTTATAAACGTTCGAAACATAGCTCTCTACAAACTATTTACATTCAGCTTACAGTTTCTCAATGCAGATTTCTCTTGAAATAATTGTGGAAATTCAGAGATACAGACATAGATCTATAAATAGTCGTACACATAAATACTTAAGGATACAAGAAGTTAGATATATGATTACCTTCCATACAGTCACGTGCATGTGGAGAACTACGAGTCCATCCTGGGCAACATTGATACACAGTCTCCGTGTGAGAGGTAGTTTTGTAGACAGAACGGTAGGATGTTACATATGCTACTCTGAAACATACATTGAATAGTTAAAACAAAAAGATCAGACATATCTTTTCGGACCACTTAAAATTGTACATTGTAATTAGTACCGAATGATATGAAATAATTTGTTTGCGGAACAGTAAATACATAACACATGTATGGATGTAAAACAATAGCTATATACATCTTGAAACCTCGTCTTTCAGAGCGAATTCTCAAAGTGTAATTTTTAGCAACTTTTCGGTTATGTTCCGAACCTTTGTTTTATTATCGTTCGGGAAAAACATCTTACGCAGGTCAAAGATTAAAAGTACACAATTACGTTCAACTTTCTTATTATACCATTTTAAATCACTTTTCAGTTCTATTTTAATATTTAATTTTCTCTTTATAATATACTTTTCGATTTCCAATTTCATTATTTTTTGGTTTTTTTTGGACCATAGGTAATACTTTTCTCTTTGTGTTTTATGTTTTCATGAACACATTAGTAGATAATACTTTACACATATGTACAAGTACTGATTTTAATATTTTACTACTTATAGAGCGGTAAACATATATGTTGTTATGATTCCAATGTTACTGGTTATACAGTGTTAAGATTATTCTAATCTGTATAAATTCAACATGTAAACATACTGCTCTTTGTAATATACATGTGGATGATTTTTGTTTTTCAACACATGTAATATTTGTGTCAGAAAATTAAATATGTCGCGCCATCTAGGTTTTATTTATGCAAGCTAATAAAGTATAATTTATTTTCATAATAAACAATTAACGTAGTTTCTGTAAAATGTTACTATTTTTAGCGTTGTAACGTTATCAATTTTCTGTTATTTTAAATAAAACTTCTATAATAACCATTTGTTGGTTGATTTTAAAATAGAGATCTATGTATGAACGTAAAATTAATTATTGTCTTGCTAAGGTTATGTCTTGTTTTAGTACCTTTTTGTGCACTGCAATTAACATTAATCTCATTTGTTTTCTAAAACATTTTCAGTATGTATGATTCACTCAATTATTTTTCAATATTCTCACGTCACAAATAGCCTAGTTCATTATATTTTCATTAGTGATATTCGATAAATTTCAGGACAAAAACTGGTATTATAATTCTAGAGAACAGTAAAGTTAAGGTGTATGACATTTCCCGTACATGGTCTGGTTTTTTACAACAAAAGGCGTCCAATGTTTGTTTTCTAGTTGCTATCCTTGCTTGCGATGATAAGCGATTTTGAACATATAGAAGTGTAGCAGACCTTTTGTTTTTCACGGATTATCCATGTGGAAAGATATTAAGGCACGAGTTGGAAAACACTATTACGCGATAAACTTACTAAATCTGGAATTCGATTTCCCTTCACCTTTCCTACAGTTTTACAATTTGACACCAAAGTCAAACTATCAAGGTCAGATAATTTACTGGAGGTGAATGAGGTTGGTCAAGATCTTGTCTCTAGTTCCAATTGTAATATTAATATTATACTTTTATCACCAGCAGAATTTTTTCACATAATAATAACAGGAATACTTATTTGTTTGTTTTGAATTTTGCGCAAAGCTACGCGAGGGCCATCTGAGCTAGCCGTTCCTAATTTAGCAGTGTAAGACTAGAGAAAAGGCAGCTAGTCATCACCACCCACCGCCAACTCTTCGACTACTCTTTTACCAACGAATAGTGGGATTGACCGTCACATTATAACGACCCCACGGCTGAAAGGGCGAGCATGTTTGGTGTGACGGGGATTCGAACCCGCGACCCTCAGATTGCGAGTCGAGTGCCCTAACCACCTGGCCATGCCGGGCCCAACAGGAATACGTTTACCGACTAACATTAGTAAACATTTTATTAATGTATTGGCGTACGCTACCTAGGTATTTTACTTACATCAAGTTATAAAGAAACAGACATTTAAACAGGCTAGCGGTGATCAGCTAAAAGAGGGAAAAAAATTTGGGGATAAAAATGCTTGAATTTTTTTCCATTAACCTCGTTTTGCAATGTATTGTAGTTTGTGTGCAAACTTAAGATCCGTGTTGAAAATCAGGCTAAGGATAAAAACTTGGCATTCAGTTTAAATACAACAAGATTCTTTTGAGCGAAAAGTTTATATAAAACTAAAATCCTTTCACGTGTTGGTTTAGAATTTAATTACACCACAGAAGAAGAAACGACAAATTATTTGCTTGACTTACAAGTAACAACTCAAACCGAAAGTTATTTTCTATTTAAAAGACACAGTCAGATTGAACTGTAATCTATTTACATTTTAAAGGACAAAGGTAATATAATTTAAATTCACCTGTAGGATGTGCATGTCTGATCTGGTTTGACGTCACAGGCATGTCTATGACGTTTATACACAGGTTTTCGGTAAGACTCCATATGCCTTACAGGTGTGTTGACAACATGACTACGGGCGCACACGTGGCGTCTGGAAAAAAAAAATAGAACACTGTTTTTCCTATAAACCTTACAAGTGTTGATAATACAGTATCCTATGTTTTGTAAAAAGTACTAAATATAACTAGTGTAATACACTTTGTAACGTCTCAATGGCTAGTCTATAAAACAATGGGTAATAACAAGAAATTATCTGACTTTCAAAAGGGTGGGAAGCGAGCGTTCATTTATTACCAGTATCGTTTCCATAGACCTTTATTTTGGTTGATTTTTGAAAGACATTTCTAATTTGTGTCTATCAACAGTGGCAAAGTATTGTAAATACATTTAAAACTGTTACCGCAACCACTGGTGACAGACTGGGAGAAAATATAGTAAACTAGAACAGGCATCAGAATATGATTTAATTGATTGATTCCTCCAACCAGAGACAGGAGGCTGTCTCCAATATTTCCATACAAAGAAACATTAAAGAAACTATAAAACAACAATGGACAACAATTTTGATAACCATGTACATAGAATGTAAACAGGAAAGCACTTTTACAATGATGCTTATAGTGCAAACAACGAATAACTGAGAGTGTGGGTTTGGTCTGATGTGTTGCGTTTTAATATTCCCTGTACTGACAACAGAGCAAAAAATGTGAAGAAATGTGTGTTGTTCCGAGAATTAAAATAGTTGGATGGGATGTGTGGTAAGGAGAAACAAACATTATCTTGGCAGTGGTTGGATAATTTAATTCATTTAGAAGGGAAACTAACACCCACACAATATTTGAAAGATGTTGTCGATTATTTGCACCACACTTTTCAGCTTTACCTTGATAGACAAATGTTCTCTTAAGACAATAAAGCCACAACCTATCACTGCTGAAAGAATTGATAATTGTATTTTATAAACCTGTCCAATCGTTTTAGAATAGTTAGATTCTTGTTCTTTCATGTTACATTGTAAGCTGATATGATTTAATCTCCTGCAATTTCAGAACTCAAGCAAATGAATGGAGTGTACTACAAACGCAAGGATAGGTCCTAATTAACTGGCTTTATTATTTAGCAAGGCATGAATCGTTGAGTCTTTTTTTAATGGGCTGAATCTCATTTTATAGAGACTAATGTAACTTTACCTTCACCTATTAATCGGAGTAAAACGTCACATTAATCTTACACGTGTAATTGTCTTTATTGTCGTTCATTTTCCAAACTTACGATTCAGAGTTAGGTGATTCCTGAAAGGTCAAAAAGTAAAATCAAGTAGGTGTATCTGGGTGGAGCCACTCAAGTTTGCTCCTTAGATAAAGTTCAGTCGCAATTGAATTTTAAGCATGCCAGATAAAATGAATTAGCTTTGATTATCTTATTGGCTGGTTTAAAATTTACAGTTTTAATCTCTAGGTGTCTTGAATGCATATGAGTAATAGAATCAGATAAACACTATCATCATAAACAAAGTGTGAAAAGACTTCGAAAACGAGTGTGCATATATTCCAATAGGGTTTTCTGAGTGGGAAACCAATTTACTTTCAACCCGTGATCTACACAGAAGGGGTGACAGCTGTTTTCTTCTCTGCTTTAAGTTTTAAGGTAATATCAGGACATACAGTTTTGAAAGTTATAGTTTTGTGGCCCTCCTAGGGCCTTTGTTTTTAGTATCCAGTCACCTTGGAAACATTTTATGAGAACAAATAAACAAATAAATACACGCGTATATAACTAGGTGTATACTTCTGTATTTGACCTCATATTGGGTGCTTGTATCACTTGTCAGTTTTGCCAGTTCTGTTGCTACACCCTTTAAAAAAACATAGTTATAAAGCGTTTACAGATGTATTAGGCTATAATGCAACAGTTTTGTTTTAGAAGTTCAATATGCTTTTTTGAACAATTTAAACAAGTCAGTCTGCTTAAAACTAACTGAACAACGATCATAATCCATATTTAACTGATAATAACAAATAATTCACTGAAAAGGGAGAGTTATTATAATATTTTTTTATGTTTTACATGTGCAAGTCAGGGACGAGCCCTTCTAGCCTGTTGTCAACTTTTAGCATATACAATTCTGTGATTTTGTTTAAGAAACTAATAAACGATCAGTGTCATTGGTGGTCTACAACGGCCTATCCAAAAACAGAAAAAGAAAACGCACGAAATGCGGTTTAGGTCTGTAGGTAATCTAAAACATCTCTCATAAACAATAACAAATACACACGTTGTTGATAATACGTTCCAAAGTTGTGCTTTGAAGCAGCAGGTATATGGGAAACAACTTTACCTCTAGGAAGTATGGAGTTTATAGTTACATAAAATGTTGTGCAGATGTCAGTCAGTTTAAACTTAATGTTCAAATGATCATGACGGATGACACAGTCTCATGGTGCTTCAAAGTCTATTTCCTGTACATTTCCTACCAGTCTCATGGTGCTTCAAAGTCTATTTCCTGTACATTTCCTACCAGTCTCATGGTGCTTCAAAGTCTATTTCCTGTACATTTCCTACCAGTCTCATGGTGCTTCAAAGTCTATTTCCTGTACATTTCCTAACAGTCTCATGGTGCTTCAAAGTCTATTTCCTGTACATTTCCTACCAGTCTCATGGTGCTTCAAAGTCTATTTCCCGTACATTTCCTACCAGTTTCATGGTGCTTCAAAGTCTATTTCCTGTACATTTCCTACCAGCCTCATGGTACTTCAAAATCTATTTCCCGTACATTTCCTATAATACATCATCATTTGGTCATCCACTATTTGGCTCATATTAGCAGGTTTTTTTTATTAAGGGAAGGAGCATTGGGATGCTATCCAGTCTTCTATCCTCACAAGGATACATTCATACCCCTTCTAACACCACACGAGAAGCACATCCTTAATGTTCTTAATCAGGTTCGAGATTCTTTTGATGAGAGGATGCAGCTGACCAAATTATTATATTGTAGATTAATTAGTGCTGGACAAATTATATGCAGCTCTGGTTTCCAAATATATAAACCTGTCGCTCGAGCCGAGATAATGAAATATGATGTTCTATGACAATATGAGCTGATACGCTTTATTGGAGTTGGTAATACAAGCATACAGTTTCTTGATTAACTCATAACTCTTATACATTAGTAGCAGCCATTTTATGAACCAAATTTGCTAAATATATGTCATAAGTGATAAATCGTGCTGCCCTATCTTTTGTAAAAATATTAATTCAAATATCATAAAAGACATTTTAAAAGTTATTGATACCCAACACTTTTAGAGTGATTAATATGCCTTTTCAAAAATTTTAAGAATAAGTTCTTTTCTAAAAAAAAAAAAAAAATTGAGTAAATTTTGGCGATCTTATTTAATCTCGTTAGGGCGCTCGTCTCGCAATCTGTGGGTCGCGGGTTCGAATCCCCGTCACACCAAACATGCTCGCCCTTTCAGCCGTGGGGGTGTTATATTGTGACGGTCAATCTCACCATTCGTTGGTAAAAGAGAAGCCCAATAGTTGGCGGTGAGTGGTGATGACTAGCTGCCTTCCCTCTAGTCTTACACTGCTAAATTAAGGACGGCTAACGCAGATAGCCCTCGTGTAGCTTTGTGTGAAATTCATAACAAACAAACAAACTTATTTAATCTTTCTCCTTTTAAACTCCCAAATTTATTGTATTTTTGTTTGTGTTGTGGAAAAGCCCCAGTATTTTTGTTTGTGTTGTGGAACAGCCCCAGTATTTTTTATTTGTGTTGTGGAACAGCCCCAGTATTTTTGTTTGTGTTGTGGAACAGCTCCAGTATATTTGTTTGTGTTGTGGAACAGACCCAGTATTTTTGTTTGTGTTGTAGAACAGCCCCAGTATTTTTGTTTATGTTGTAGGACA